ATGGCTAAAATTAACAAGTCAGGAAATGACAGATGTTGGCGAGGATACAGAGAAAGAGGAATCCTCCTACACTGTTGGTGGGAATGCAAGCTGGTGTAGCCACTCTGGAAAACAGTATGGAGGGTCCTCAAAAAGTTGAAAATAGAGCTACCATATGACCCAGCAGTTGCACTACTGGGTATTTACCCCAAAGATACAAATGTAGGGATCCAAAGGGGTACGTGCACCCCGATGTTTATAGCAGCAAGGTCCACAATAGCCAAACTACGGAGAGAGCCAAGATGTCCATTGACAGATGAATGGACAAAGAAGAAGTGGTATATATATACAATGGAATAGTATGCAGCCATCAAAAGGAATGAAATCTTGCCATTTTCAATGGTGTGGATGGAACTGGAGGGTATTATGCTGAGTGAAATAAGTCAATCAGAGAAAGACATGTATCATATTATCTCACTGAAATGAGGAATTCTTAATCTCAGGAAACAAACTGAGGGTTTTTGGAGTGTTGGGGGGTGGGAGGGATGGGGTGGCTGGGTGATAGACATTGGGGATGGTATGTGCTATGGTGAGCGCTGTGAATTGTGTAAGACTGTTGAATCACAGACCTGTACATCTGAAATAAATAATACATTATATGTTAAAAAAAAAAAAAAGAAGATAGCAGGAAGGGAAAAATTAAGGGGGGGAAATCAGAGGGGAGACCATGCACGAAAGACTATGGACTCTGAGAAACAAACTGAGAGTTCTAGAGGGGAGGTGGGTGTGTTAGCCTGGTGATGGGTATTAAAGAGGGCACGTATTGAATGGAGCACTGGGTGTTATACACAATGAATCATGGAACACTACATCAAAAACTAATGATGTAATGTATGGTGATTAACATAACATACTAAAATAAAAAAAATGGGCAGAGGAACTGAATAGACACTTTTCCAAAGACACATACAAATGGTGAACAGTTACATGAAAATGTGCTCAACATCACTAATCATCAGACAAATGCAAATCAAAACCACAATGAGCTATCACTCATACCTGTTACAGTGGTTATCATCAAAAAGAAATTACAAGTGTTAAGGAAGGTGTGAAGAAAAGGGATCCCTTATGTACTGTTGGTAGGAATGTAAATTGCTGCAGCCATTATGGAAAACAATATGGAGGTGTGTAGCCACATTTCTGTAGACTCTCAGCCAAATGTGGGTGATGACCCAGCAAGAACAAAGGAATGACCCAAAGACAGTGACTGAGACCTAGGTTTATTGGGGGAACTTAAGTACAGGGAGTCCAGGAGTGGCCAACTGAACAAAGCATCTGCAGCTAGAAAGTAAATGCAGCAAACTTTTATAGTGTAGCAATTATCCTAGCAATTCTCTGTAGCTTTGCCCCTCCTTGCATGGCAAATGTTCCAAAGAGATAAAAGCCCACCACCTGGACATTCTGCATTACCAAGGAGATACTCTAGGTTGGCCAACCCTGGAAACCTTGACCTGGAATGCTGAACAACTCATTTTCTACCTATCTTGCTTGTGGAAAATAACAGAGAAGATGCACGGGATCTATACATTCTCAAGATAATGATTAACAGGGGCATTCAGGGTGTGCTTCTACAAACCAGCTATCTGGCCCTTAATATGCAGGAGGTTCCTCAAAAATTAAAAATAGAACTACCATGTAATCTAACAACCTCACTTCTGGGTATATATTCAAAAGAAACGAAACAGTATATTGAAGGACTGTCTGCACTCTTATGTTCATTTCAGCATTATTCATGATAGCGAAAATAGGGAAACAATGTTAAGTTGTCTTGTCAGTGGATGAATGGATAAAGATGTGGTATATATATATATATATATATATATATATATATATACACACAATGGAATATTATTCAGCTATGAGAAAAATGGAAATCCTGCCATTTGCAAAAACATGAATGAAGGCATTTCGTGAAGTAAACTAAGCCAAAAGATAAATACTGCATGGTATCACTTATATGTAGAATCTTTTTAAAAAGTAAAATAAAAGTTATACAAACAGAATAGAAAAGTGGTAGCCAGGAGCTGGGGAGTAGGAAAAATAGGGAAAGGTTTGTAAAAGGGTACAAACTTTCAGCTATGAGTAAGTTTTGGGAATCTAATGTAAAACATGATGACTATCATTGATAACATTGTAATGTGTAATTGAAATTTGCTAAGAGAGACTTTAAATGGTCTCACCAAAAAATAAATAAATATGTGAACTGATAGGCATGTTAATTAACTAGATGTTGGGAATCCTTTCCCAATCTATATCAAATCATCATGATGTACACTTTAAGTATGTTACAATTTTATATGTCAATTATACCTCATTGAAGCTGAAATTTTAAAAATGGTTATTGAAAGTTAAAACATTCTATTCATCACTGACAAAGCCTTAGGCAATGTTTTCAGTAAGAGATTATTTTCCCTAAAACTGTAAAGTTGGTCCCAAGTAGTTTTAAACATCTACTTTTAAATGAACAAATTATAAGTTAAACTTGAATAAATGGGTAATTTTGGAGAAATGAAGAGAAAGAAGCTCTTTGAAACTTCGGATTTCAGAAACTAAACATTTAACTCAAGGTATATAAACCTGTGCTCATTCAAAGCACTTTTAGCTTTGACAACAAAATCATAGCTATAAAAATTTTGCTATAGAAGAATCAAATTAAAACTGGAGATGAAAATTAAGCTGATCAAGGGGAAGTCTGTGATTCAGTACAACCTGGTCTTCAGCTTAAAATTCTTCAAAAAAAAAAATCCTAAAAATAAGAGCTTAAAAATCTCAAAATGTCAGCAAAAAGATAGAGAACAAGAATAGTCAAAAACACTAAAATGAAGACAAATTAAAAATTACATGAACCTCAGTTTTGGTGATTATGATGGCAGAGATGTCCTGCTGTACCTGGCCAGCAAAAGCACAGCTTGTAATATCTAATTCCAGCATCATCAATGCTGAGCCACTAACAGTGGTTCTTTACTAAAATAGTAACTACAGTGTGGTTGGGCACTGTTTTGGCCTGCAAAGCTTCTGAGAATACCTTCCAGGTTCTCCTTGAGGTTTTGAGTGGCCTAATATCCTTCCATAAATTCTTTTCCTGCTAAAACAAATTAATCAAGCAAACCAACATTAAGTCAATTAACAAACCAATGTGTCCTCCAACCAAGGTAATCATGCCTGATGAAGGGGGAACTTTTCCTAACAGATGTGTGCAGAAGGGGGCTTATTTTTGCAATTTGTACCCAATTTTTCTTTTTTTTTTTTTTTTTTATCTCAAGTAGGCTCCATGCCCAGCATGGAGCCCAATGTAGGGCTTGTACTCACGACCCTGAGATCAAGACCTGAGCTGAAATTGAGTCAGATGCTTAACTGACTGGGCCACCAAAGTTGCCATTTTTTAATTCATTCTAAGTCTTTGTTAGTGCCAGCTGTTGTTCTCAGTGTTTTCCTATTTATCAGACTACATTTGATAGTGCAGAAGGGATAGAGCTCTTGACTTCAGCTTCCCCATGACTAACTCATTAAGGAATATTTCTGCCTTTCCATCTGGGAATCCTGAGAATCCCAAGATCTGTGTTAATATGGAAGATGACTGGACCCAAAAATCATAGATCTCAATGTGCATTACACAGGCCACTCCTAAACCCTACTAAATATGTCTTCAAAATTGCTTTCCCTTACCAAATACTTTAGCTGGCCCTGTGGCCCATACAGACACTAAGTGAGAAAATCTGGATCCAAATTCTGCCTCCATGAATACTATTTATACAATATTAGACAATTTTCCAAACCTTTTTCCTGAGCTTCAGTTTTCTCAACTGCAAAATCAGGATAATAAAGCATCTACCTTGCAGGGCTGTTGTGAAGATTAAATGGGTAATGTGTATGAAGTGCCTGGTATTTAAATATTTAATAAATATGTTAACTTTCCTTTTTAAAAAATAGCAAAACACACTAATGCATATGAATGGTGAAACATAATTGGATTGTCATCCTTGCACAAGGAAACCCAGGAAATTGGCAATTTTTTTTCAAACTCTACAATGCAAAAAGGCTATAATGGAGTAAACACTTAGTACCATATGGACATTAAACAGGATTTTTTCCATTTAACTCTATTGTCCTTTGAATGACCAAAGTACATTTTTAAATGTACTCTGAATATTACAGAACTATGAGACATTTTTTCAAATATTATATATTAGCATTTAAAAAAGATCTATTTTTGGTGGCATTATTTCCAAGTTTTTAAGTTCTATCAAAACAGAGATAAATTCATAAGCTAGCTCTAAATAAATAGTACTATTTGTCTTAGACATGAGCAGTTTAAATAGTCTGAAACAAGAATGACACTAATAATTTTTGTTCAGAATTTACCATATACCAAGAAGTGTTCTGGCATGTGACATGAATTATCACAAAAACTCCATGAGATAGATAATATTCCCAACTTATAGAAAAGGAAACTAAAATATGAAGACTTCAGTAATTTGTACAACTTGTAAATGGTAGAATTGGGATTTGAGCCCAGGCAGTCTGGCTCTAGAATCAATATTCTTAAGTACTATTTGTAACTGCACAGTAAGAGGCTTCCATTCTATATTTTAAACTCCAAGCACTTGAGGTACTTCCAAAACTTATATAAATAGGTGTATATTTAAATTATGCAAAAGAAAGTCGAATACTATAACCTATTTTGTAATGCCATTAAATGGTATAATGCTTAATGGGGATATAGAATAAATTTTAAGCTATGTTAATTAACCACATTAAAAATGAACTTATATGTAATAAAAATCTTATGAAATTTTGGCTAACTACTGAAAATGTGACTAATCTTAAAATAGCAAGGGCTTAGCCATCTTTCTATGGTTTAAAAAAAAGGAAGTCTCACTCTTCATTAATCTACATATTTGGGTTCCTTTATATGAAGATATAATTATGATATTTATGCTGCCTTCTTCCTCTTGATACAGATCATGTAAATGGACACTGCACAAGTCCAACCTCTCAGAGTTGCAGTTCTGGAAAACGTCTGTCAAGTGCTGATGTTTCAAAAGTAAATCGCTGGGGTCCTGGAAGACCACCATTTCGGAAAGCACAATCAGCTGCTTGCATGGAAATTTCTTTACCAGTCACAACAGAAGGTAAGTTAAACATACACATTTTTGTGGATACAATTAAAATTTGATATGCCATGATAATGGGAGCTAGAGGACAAGGGATGTAGGTCTTGGTGTAAAAGATACTTTAAAACCACAGTCAATTCTAGGCAATAAGTGACTGAGAGCCTGGTCAAGCTGTGGCCATGACTCCAAAGCATTTCTCACTATACCTCCTCCTTCATCTCTAAAACCAGAATGGCAGTGCTTATTGTCACATCCTCTGTACGAGGGGAGACCTATACCTTAATCAGTTCTCTACACTCCCAGCAGCAATTGAGAGTTTCCTTCCATCTCAGTGGTAAGCCTTTTAGTGCCTCTATCAGTAGATAGTTATTTAATGTCTTGCAACCCTCATTTCCTCAACTGTCAAGTGAGTATGACCAAGAAAAAGGCAAGATCTTAAGTTCTAAAGTTTGCAATCTTCGTATGTTTTTAAAAGGAAGTGCTGTGGCTCAGGTTTCCACTGGCGGCGCTGGGATCCTGGGCCACGTGCTGCTCCAGCTCCCATTCCCGCGCCGCAGCGCAGCATCTCTGCGCGCCTCAGTCGGAAGGGTACTCGCGGAGAAATGTCGGTTGCTAGGCTGCTGCGGCAGGTCGCGGGCCAGATGCTGGGGAGCCCAGCCTGTGGCTGCTGGATAGCTACCCCGCCGCTCCAGTTTCTGGGCACCTCCCCTCGGCAGATTCCAGCAGACGCCAACTTCCACTCTGCCCTTTTCTCTGAAACAGACCAGCCACGCATCCTAATTACAGGGGGTTTTGGCCAGCTTGGAGTGGGGCTTGCTAACCTTTTGAGGAAACGATTTGGGAAGGACAATGTGATTTTGTCTGACATAAGGAAACCCCCTGATCACATCTTCCACAGCGGCCCGTTTATTTATTCCGACATTCTGGATTACAAAAATCTTCGGGAGATCGTGGTAAACAACCGCATCATCTGGTTGTTTCATTATATCGCTTTGCTCAGTGCAGTTGGGGAAGCAAACATATCCTTGGCCAGAGCCATAAATATCACCGGATTGCATAACATCCTGGATGTCGCAGCAGAGCACAATTTGCGATTGTTTGTGCCTAGCACAATCGGAGCTTTTGGACCTACTTCTCCCCGGAATCCAACTCCCAATCTCCGTGTTCAGAGACCCAGGATGATCTACGGGGTGTCCAAAATCCACGCCGAGCTCATGGGAGAATATTATCATTACCGGTACGGGTTAGATTTTCGGTGCTTGAGATATCCTGGAATCATTTCGGCAGACTCACAGCCTGGGGGAGGAACAACTGACTATGCGGTCCAGATCTTCCACGACGCCCTGAAGAATGGCAAATTTGAGTGCAACCTGAAACCCAGCACAAGGCTCCCAATGATGTATATTGATGACTGCCTCAGGGCCACTCTGGATGTCATGGAGGCCCCGGCAGAGTCCCTCTCCATGAGGACCTACAACATCAATGCCATGAGCTTCACCCCTGACGACCTGGCCCAGGAGGTTCTCAAGCATGTACCAGAATTCCAGATCACGTACAACATGGATTCTGTTCGACAGGCCATAGCGGATATTTGGCCAATGAACTTTGATGACAGCAATGCTCGGAAGGACATCGGGGTGGAAACACGACTTTGATCTTCCAGAGTTGGTGACGACGATGTTGAACTTTCATGGTTCTGATACTAGAGTTGCCCAGGCTAACTGAGGGAATCGGAAGGGAGAGCTCGTGTGTCCTGGACCGCTGTCAAGGGAAAAGCGTAACGACCCTGAGGAACCTCAATTATCTGGAATGGAAGGATGAATTGGATGAGATTTTGGCAGCTCATACTGAACTGCCAGGTTGGAGAATCATGTTGGCTTTTGCATTTTCAAAATGCTGTAGGTTTGGTGGTAGGACTTCTAAACCTTTGCTGTTTGCCTAAACTTGCCCAAACACACATATCACCGAATGAAGACTTCAGTCAGAATAGTTGCCATTTCCTTAATTCAGATGAATTGACCATTTTGGGGAAGGTGGACGTATGTGATGTTTGTTGTGAATTAAATTTAATTTAAATATCAAAAAAAAAAGGAAGTGCTGTGCTTCCTTTAAAACGAATGGCTGTGCTTATTGTCACATCCTCTGTACCAGGGGAGACCTATGCCTTTTAAAAGGAAGTGCTGTGCTTCCTTTAAAAGGAATGGCTGTGCTTATTGGCACATCCTCTGTATGAGGGGGAGACCTATGCCTTAATCAGTTCTCTACACTCCCAGCAGCAATTGAGAGTTTCCTTCCATCTCAGTGGTAAGCCTTTTAGTGCCTCTATCAGTAGATAGTTATTTAATGTCTTGCAACCCTCATTTCCTCAACTGTCAAGTGAGTATGACCAAGAAAAAGGCAAGATCTTAAGTTCTAAAGTTTGCAATCTTCATGTTTTTAAAAGGAAGGATTAATTCCATGTTTATGGAATGAGTGTTGGAACAGGGATTAAAGTATAAGAGCTAGAAGGCCAGAAATTTTTAGAGAGGGAGAAAAAAAAGGAATCTTGTAACTTAGTTGCTACAGTCTTGCTGGCAAAGAACTTTGGGGAAAGATATAGGAAAAAATAATCTTAGAAGATTTTCTATAGTAATTCTATTCTATAAAGTAATTCCCCATTTACCACTCCTCAAAAACTTTTTAGTAATGACCTATATTTAAAAATTTAAATTTAAAAAATTTTTTAAATTACAAAAAATTTAAAAGTTTAGTATTATACCATACTAAATCTGGTTCATGGATGTGCAGATAATGAGATTATTTCTCTCACAGATGTATGAGTAACAAACTTGAATGTTGATGAACCACGAATGGAAAAACTTCAAAAGCATATTAGCTAGGAATGTTATAATAGAAGCAAAATGTAAAGGTTATAGAAGTAGCACTCTTAATCACTGGGTTGAGTTGAGAATTTTGAGTTTTAGACATTTCTGCCTCTAACTTCTCCTGGATTCTGGGTTAATTGCTTAACTATGTCTTTGTCTCCAAATCTATAAAATTGTATAGATTATATCCAAGCTCCCTCTCATCTCTAAATTCTATTACAAATAATTATTTTTACAAACTTGTTGAGGGATAGAAAAGGGATTAGGAATACTATATTTTGCTTTTTAGAAAAAGAAGAGTCTAAGGAACTTATATTTAGTCTCTTTTTATAAAAATGAGTCACACTTGTACCCATCAAGAAAGAAAAGGAGTGAATGCAGTAGAAAAAAGAATATGAGGAACTTGAACTCCGGAGCAATTATAAGAACAAAACATTCCAGTAGTATTTAACTGAGGGGGGAGTTCTTTTATGCTTATTGGAGTGTGCACATGTTTAAGTGTTGATGAGCAGAAAAACTTGAAAGCATCCTACTTCCTTTAGGTGGGCTGAAGCCCTCTCAGATTACTATTAACAACGAGATGGTCCTGTCTACAGCTTCTTATTTGGTTCTAGGTAAAGTTAGAACTGGATTTGGATTCAAGTTGGTAACCTGAAAGTAGTTCAGGAATATAGCATTTGCTCTTTGGCCTTGGTAAATACTCCAATTTTTACAATTGTAGTTACTCCAAATATAGCAAAACCAAAAATTATGTCAGTTAGGGAAATGTATTCACCAAGAACATTTGTGACCTTTCAGTTAAGTAGCCATAATGTTGTCAGTAGGTGGAAATTGCCAAGAAATCATTAAGACTATTTTCAACAATTGAGAGATAGAAGGGAACCATAATTAAAATGGTACCAGAAATTCTTGTAACCTTGACTACTCAGACTAAATTTTTTTTTTCCAGACCAGAAAATTTCAACTAATTTGTGAGGTAATGTAGGGAGAAAAACCTGGTGAACTGGAACTCTGGAGACTCAACTTCTAGTTCCAGCTCTGCCAAAGTTTATGATTTACATTTCTGGACTTCAATCTCTTCATTATCAAAATGAGCTGATGAACTGGACAAGCAGTCTTCCAGATCAGTTAACAAGGAATCAAATTCTACTTCCCCTTCATAATTTTGTTTTTCATGTACTAAGTCTGACTTTACTTGTTATGGAAATACACTGACAATTTTTGTTTTTCTGAATTTCTATAGAAAGCCGAGAAAATTCCTATAATCGTTCTAGAAGCTCTAGCATCTCCAGTATTGACAAAGATTCGAAAGAAGCAATTACAGCACTATACTTCATGGAGTCCTTTGCTCGGAAAAATGACCCTAAGGTGTCCCCTTGTTTGTTTGTTGGAACTAGTCTGGGAATGGTTTTAATCATCTCCCTGAACTTACCTTCAGCAGATGAACAAAGATTTACAGAGCCAGTCATGGTATTGCCAAGTGGTAAGGAATTTTATTTCTCAATTGCTACTTTTTAACATTTAGATATAAGATAAGGTATAACATTAATTTATACTGATCTGGAATAAAGTTTTAAGTATTCTGTATACTGGAAACTATTGAAAATTTCATAAATTGTATACTATCCCAATATTTGTCATACAGCAACTTACCATTCCTTAGGATAAAATAATACAATTATTTCTATGGTAGTAAACTGTGGAACTGCCCACCTAAACAATGCCTTGGGAAAAAGATTTCTGAAAAGCACTAAGGAAAACCTTGATGCAAAAGTTAAAGTATTTAATGAATTGAATTATTTCTCCAAAATTCCGTGCCAGATCAGAGCCTATGAGTGTTTTTTTATCATCCCTGAAGAACTCAGAACAATTATCTAAAAGCAGTCTGACTTGACATAGCTTTCTAAAGTCCTTGGTAAGCTTCCCATCTTGTTTCAAAGGCATGCCACACAATTTCTTTCCTTTTTATCCTAGAGCCTAAAGAATTTAACATAAGTTATGAGTATTTTGCTAAAGCATATGTTGTATTCTCTTGAATTATCTTTCTTTCCTTCCAAAGAAGAGATGAGTGTGATTCCTCATGCAATCCCTTTGAATATTTTAAAATTTGTTCTTCTCAATAACTTTTACTTTGTATTTCCAGTGTATGATGTTTTTTTTTTTAAAGATTTTATTTATTTATTTATTTGAGAGAGTGAGCACATGAGAGGGGAGAGGGTCAGAGGGAGAAGCAGACTCCCCGCTGAGCAGGGAGCCCGATGCGGGACTCGATCCCGGGACTCCAGGATCATGACCTGAGCCGAAGGCAGTCGCTTAACCGACTGAGCCACCCAGACGCCCCGTGTATGATGTTTTTCAGATAGTTTTTAAGTAACAAAAATAGAGAATTTTATTAATATATAGGATAAGGAATTTTATTTTAAAAGAATGCATATATATAGACTGCTAGGTTAGAGTTATATTTTGTTAACTGGTGTGCTAAATTCTTGTAGATTTTTACTTATTGTAGGTGGAATAGTCAGCTCTCTACTAGTGTGGCAAATTTAGATAAATGTGTGTGTGTGTGTGTGTGTTAAACAACTGAAACTGATCTTCTCATACTTCTGGAGACTAGAGGACCAAAATTAAGGTGTCAGCAGGTCTAGTTTCTTCTGAGGCATCTGTCCTTGGCTTGTAGATAGCCACCTTTACCATGTCTTCCCATGGCTGTCCTTCTGTATGCATGTACCTGTGGTGTCTTCCTGTGTACCCTAATCTCTTCTTAGACACCAGTCAGTTTGGATTGGCCCACTCTAACAACCTCCTTTTAACTTAATCATCTCTTTATAGGCTCTACTTTAAATATAGTACTAGGGTTTAGGCTTTCAACATATGAATTTGGTGGGGACATAATTCAGCCCATAAAATGCATTGTATTTTTAAAAGTTAATCTCTTAGGGTCACTTTATTTTAATTGTAAACATACTTCATGATGAGAAAATATCTTTTACTACATTCCTAATTTTAAGGAAATATGCACAATTCTCTTACAGTGGTTGAATTAGAGCCAGATCAGTGAGGTCATAATGAATTATTAAACACTAATTCAATCCACTATTTAACTCAATAAGTTATTATCCATATTGGACACCTAATATGTGCCAGGCATTCCTTACAAGTTTAAAGGTGAAAATCTAACTCCTGTGTACACAAGTTTACAACTGTAAGTGGAAGACAATTTTCTAAGAGATAGTCTAACAAATATGGTTTTCTATGTCTAGAAATAAACAGATCTAGAACTAATTTAACAGATCTCTCAATATTATGGGAAAGTCCTTTACCGTTCTTAACAAACATAGACTAAAAATGATGGCAAAATACAAAATAAGTAGAGACTTAATAATGTGGTATCTGGTTAGTTAATATTTGCAAAGCTTTTCCTTGACTATTTAAAGATACATAATGGGAACCTGTCTTCTCCAATTTTCTGTCATTATTCTCCAGTTCTTTCAAGACTTTAGCTCATCAGTTGTAACAATGTACCACACTAATACAACATGTTAATAATAAAGGACAAAGGGAGCATATGGGAATTCTGTACTCAATTTTCTGTAACCCTAAAAAAAGTATTTTTTAAGAGCTACATAAAAGAGTTAACTATGAAGCTAGGTTCAGATGTGTTTTATAAATAACCATGGAAAGGAGGGAAAGCCTAGTTGGAAGATCGTTAAGAGACTACTACAGTGAACAATAATTATGCGTATAAACTGAACGACCTATAAGAAATGGATAAATTTCTAGAAACATACAACCTACCAAGACTGAATCATGAAGAAATAAAAAGTCTGAACAGATCTATAATTAATAAGGAGATTGAATCAGCAATCAAAAGCCACTCAACACAGAAAAGCCCATTTCTCCTTTTTAAGGAAACCTTTCACATTAATTTACTGTGGTTGTCTTGACAACAAATTCAATGATATGAAAATTTGAAGTGCACTAAATCATTGAATTTTCCCATTGAGAATGGAAAAGTACCTAAAGATTATCCATTCCCCGTAGTTATCCCTTTAGTCTGTATCAGAATCACTTGGAGGGTTTGTTACAACACAGATTATTGGCCCCCCCGCCCCAAGGGTTTCCCATTCAGTAGGTCTGGGGTGGAGTCTGAGGATTTGCATTTTTAACAAGCTCCCAGGTGATTCTACAAAAGCAACTTTACATGTTGGGATGGAAAAAGCTACAATTCTTGGCTCTTGTTTAGGGAAAAACCCAGTGCTTCCTCCTGTGTTTGTCCTGTGTACCTCTTCTACTTTCACACTACTTCCACACTCACAACACTTCCAACACCAGATGCGTGGAGGTTTTTCCCCATAGCAAGCAATTCTTTGCAACGCCAGCTGGATGTCCCACAATTTAACTCGATTCTGACACTATCTGGAAATAACTATCAGATCCCACAGGTTCAGGGCTCAGTTCCACAAAACTGCCCTCTCTCCTTCCTTTAGACACCAGTCGCAAGTCTAGTTTATCACCTGTGCTTCTGACCCATTGGCTATAAATCTGAGGTTCCCACAACCCCCTCCTTGGGTTCAATTAATTTGCTAGAGTGGCACACTGAACTCAGGAAAATTGTTTACTTACCGTTTGCCTGCTTATTATTAAAATTTACAGATGAACATCCAGATGGAAGAGATGAGTAGGGAAAAGAACACAGAGCTTCCAAGCCTTCTCCAGGAGCATTACTCTCCCTGCACCTCCACCTATTCACCAACCCTTTTGAGTTTTTATGGAGGCTTCATTAATTACATAGAAATGATTGACTAAATCATTGACTCCTGGTGATTGAATTCAATCTCCAGCCCCCACCCCTTCCTTGCCCCGTGGTGGGAAAGAAGTGGGACTAAAAGTCTCAACCTCTAACCACATTGTTGGTTCCTCAGGCAACCAGCCCCCATCCTTGGGTGAGGTCCAAAAGTCACCTCATTAACATAATAAAAGACACTGTGTTGCCCTCTCATTTAGAAATTCCAAGGGTTTTAGGAGCTCTGTGTCAGACACAGAATATAAATCACAGTATTACACATGAAAATTCAGTTTAATCACAATTCTGCTTAAATTTAATTCTACCTACTTTATTTCTATGCCTGTGTAGTTGAACATGGCTAGAGAAAAATATCTAAACACAATAAATAGTCTCATTTTAAAATAAATCATTAATAACTTCAACTAGGCTCCTATGCTGCTGGGTGATTATATTTACTATATTTCCCTAGTCCTCTCTCCCATGCTCTTGAACAATTATATTTCTCCACTCTCCTCAAACCTCCAATACCTCCTTTGCTCTCTTCAGTGTCAGCTAATGACCATGTGTCCTCTTTCACTGAGGAAATTGAAACAAGCAGATAACAACTTCAACCACCACATCTATATCTCCTGTCTTCATATCTCTCCATGGTCTCTATATTCTCTCCTGTTATTATGACTAACCTGTGTAAGCTCCCAACTTGGCCAACTTCTCTACTTGTACAGTCAAGAAAGTCAATCCAGCAACTTTTCCTGTTTCCTTTATATAATTATATTATTTGTATTACTACACCTAATTGTGTAATTATAATAGTAATAAATACTTATCTTTCTGCTAGATCAGCATACAAATATGCTGTTCTTTCTCCCATTAAAAGAGAAAAACTTGGGGTGCCTGGCTGGCTCAGTTGGTAGAGCATGTGACTCTTGATCTCAGGGCTGTGAGTTCGAGTCCCACGTTGGGTGTAGAGGTTACTTTAAAAAAATAGAATCTTAAATAAATAAATAAAATAGAAAAACTCTCTTGAATCTATCCCCCAAAATGCTCCATTTCATTTCTTTCTCTTCAATGCAAAATTCCTTGAAATGTTTGTGTTATATTACTATTTCAAATTTCCTTCTCCCATTCTCTTGTCTCCATTCTAATCAAGCTTTCTCCCATACCAATCAATAAAAACTTCTGTCTAGGTCACCACTGAACTCATGGCTAAATCCAATGGTCAGTTCTCAGGCCACATCTTACTTGACATATCAGCAACATATTACACAGTTTACCATTGTCCCTACACTAAAAACACTTCACTTGGATTCCAGAACACTATATTTATGTACTTTTCTTCCTAACTTTCTAGCCATTCCTTATCAGTCCACTTCGCTGGTTTCTTCTCATTTCACTGGACTTAAAACATCAGAATGCCCAAAGCCTGGCTCAAACCTTTTCTGTTTTTTATTTATATTCAAGGCCAAAATAAAATCAACCAGCCTCATAACTTTAAATGCCACTGATAATCTGATGGGTCATATATTTGTATTTATAGTCTGTAACCATCTCCAAATTTCTGACATAGATATCCAGTTACTTAACATCCACTTGGATGTCTAATAAGCATCTCAAACTTAACATGTCCAAAATGAGTTCCTGGTATTCTTTTCCTTTCCCCCATATTCTTTCCCACATCTGTTAATGGCAATTCCATCCTTCCAGTCTCAGGTCAGAAACATTGGAATCATCCTGGACCACTATGTTTCTTTCACACTCTAAATCCAGTTTATTAGCAAATTCTGTTGGATTGACCTTTATAGTATCCTCAGATTCTGATCATTGCTCACCATCTCTGTTGTTACCACCTGATTGGAGGAAACGTCTATTTCTTGCCTTGATTTAATGTACTAACTTATTCACTGTTCTCCCTTTGTTCAACCTTGATTCCCTTTAGAATATGCCCAGCAGGAAGAGTGATCCTGTTAAGTGAAAATTAGATTACAACACTCTATTCTCAAAATCTTCCTCGTACCAAGTAAAAGTCTAATGCTTTTGGCATTATCTTTTGTCCCCATGGGACACTGGGACAACTGTTCTTTTATTCCTTGACCCTCACACTGAAGCGCCTAAACCCTGCTCTCCTATTTTCTTCAGTTACCCTTGTAGGACATTTACAGGCTTCTTAGTTTTGAAGTGGATTTTGAAACACAACTGGGATGTTAAATCACCTAAACATGTTATTTTAAATTTGATAAATTTTAAGTGCGTTAAATTATAGAGTACTTTCTAAATGGAATGTATTTTTATTTATCACCCTTTTTCAAGTGTCTGTTGTGTGTACACTCGTGAGGTATATCAGCCTGGGTTAATCCCCTTACTCTCTCTGCATGATGTCAGAGGACAATGGAAGAAAAAGACTGCTGGGGCATTGCTTAAGGACAGTCTGATTATGTCCAAAGGTCAATCTACTGCAGGTTACTGCTTAAGCTTTATAGTATCGTGTCCTCTGGGACTGGTAAAAACATCCATAGGTTATAATTGGGCATAGATATTCAAACTTGGAGAATCCAGGTGAGTAAACTTCTTTTCCATATAAAGATGCATAAGTCTGCCTAATAGCCAAAGGATTTTTTAATACAATCAAAATTGAGAGCATGAACTCTATATGTTAAAATTTCATGAAATTTATTCTAGGTGTTCAATTTCAGAAGAAGAAAAAAACCATTTTCTAGTAAATGAGCCTAAGAAATAAGGAAATGGAATCAGATGGTATGATTTTTTTCAGTTGAACTTTTCAATAAATGAAAATTATAAATTTTCTAAAATTTGCTTTTTAAAAAAGGATATTAAGGGGGTCTATATAGTATGGTAAAAAAATACTGGATTAGAAGTTAGGAAACCTGAGTTCTAGTCCAGACTCAACCACTAACTTGCCATGTGACATGCCCCAAGTCTCATCACTTTTCTGGGTCTCCATTTTCTCATTAATAAAATGAAAGGATTTGACAAGTGGATGTCTTAGGCCCCTTTTAGACCTAACATTCTATGATGCCAAGTTATTGCAAATGGTGAACTCACAAATCTACTGATATATGTATATTACTGCAATATTATGACACTATAGATGTAAATTATCAGTATAAAACATTTACTGCCCATAAATGAATAACAACTGTTTTAGAAAGAATTTCACATGCCAGTGATATGAAATTGTTTTTATAGGTACATTCCTCTCACTGAAAGGAGCTGTGCTAACATTCTCCTGTATGGACCGAAATGGCGGATTAATGCAACCGCCATATGAAGTTTGGAGGGATCCAAACAACGTAGATGAAAATGAAAAATCTTGGAGAAGGAAACTGGTCATGAACTGCCCTTCTCCATCCCAAGAAATAGGAGATCATCAGTATACAATAATCTGCTCAGAAAAACAAGCCAAAGTCTTCTCACTGCCTTCTCAGACTTGTCTTTATGTTCATAACATCACCGAGACATCTTTTATACTGCAAGCAGATGTGGTGGTCATGTGTAACAGTGCCTGCTTGGCATGCTTTTGTGCCAATGGGCATATCATGATAATGAGGTACTTGCCTTCTTTATAAATTATCTGGTAATCACAACAGTGTGACCAAGGTACAGTTCTAAAAAGTATATGTGTAATGTGCAATCAAGAAGCAACCTGAGATCACTGCTTCATTATGTTTGTGAATGTTTTATTGTTTGACAATTTGAGGAGACTATGGGGTTTTTATTTTTTTATTTTTTGCTTTTGCTAAAAATGCATTGCATTGTGAATGAAATATATATTTTAATTGATTTCAAGGAATCTAAGGAATGAGTGATTTTTCTAGTCATTCACACATTAATCCACAAGCATTTACTGAACATATGTTATCTCTCAGATATTATGCTAGGCATAAAATATAAAAATGAATAAACTAAGGAAAAGAAATGAACTTACTTTCACTATGTTTTATAATCCATACAAGAACTTTACATACAGAGTTAAATTTGGTCCTTATGATTTCTGTAGGACATGGGAAAAAAAAGTAGTATTTGCATCCTCCATTTTACATATGTTAATAAATTAAAGCTCAAATTTGCCTGATGTTGCAAGTCTAGGAAAGAGTGAGACCAGCACTGAACAGTATATTAAAAGTTACCACTACAATTGAAATATAACATTCTATAAGTTTAAGGTGTACAACATGACAATTTGATATATGTATATATTGTGGAATTACTACCACAATAATGTTAGTTAACACATCCATCTCCTCACAGTTACCACTTTTGTGTGTGTGGTGAGAACTTTTAAGATCTACTCTTCTAGCAACTTCAAGTATACAATACAGTATGGTTAACTATAAGTCATCATGTTGTACATTAGATCCCCAGAATTTAATAATCTTGTAACCAGAAGTTTATGCCCTTTGACAACCTTAATAATATGATATCAGCTGAGGGATTTCATTATACTGTTAATAATTTAATAATTTAATAAATAAATAAATTTAATAATTTAATAAATTTTAATAAAATAAAATTCATGAGATACAAACAAAATTAATTACCTAATGATTTTATGAGTTCAACAAATACATAATAAACATAATCTGTGTAGCAGTCACTATCATTTGTTTTAATAACTCACCTGGTTCCAAAAATCACTGAGACAGTAAAGCATTATACTAGACCTGTGAAGGATATAAAAATTAGTAAAAACATAGTCCTAGTCCTTAAAAAGCTTACTATCAAATTGGGGGAGATAAGATACACAAGTAATTATAATACAAAGAACATATATATTCCAACAGAGGAAATAGGGGGTCGAAACTTCTAGACACAAACTAAGTCCTCAGAAATCAAAGTCATGAGATAGTTGGTATATGTTATTAAAAAGGAGATGTTGGGAGGAAGGTAACCTGAAGAAGTAGATTGGGGTAAATTATTGAGGACCTTTCACGGCAAGCTAATGAGTTGGATATTAATCAGTTAGTAGCTAATCTGCTCTAGCTATACATTAAGAAATAATATGGAGAGCTTGAAATGGTCTTCTGAACTAAAATGTTAGCTATATAGAAAGCAAGGTAGAAACAGATGTGAGGGATAATTGAGGGAAACTTGCTGAATGTAAAACTGATTGTGAAAGGTGATGGAGATCGTTAAATCTCAGAATTAGAATAGAATTTAAAGGTTAAAAAATTTTTTATGAACTTGAATAACAGTGATGTCATTAGCAGATGGAAAGTCATGAGAATTTGGAAAAGCTGATAATGAGAAGTTTGAGAATGAATGCCTTGAATTTGAGGTGCTTTTAAGCCGTCCCACAGAAGTTTGGCAAGCATTTAAGGTCTGGACTCCTAGAAAAATATGGAAGATCCAGCTTTGGAAGTCATCTATGTAAATGCATTTAGTGAAAATTACAGCAGTGAATGAGATCATCAGAGAAGATAGTATAAAAAGAAAGGAGAAATAGACTGATCTGGGAACAAAAACTTGAGGATATCTCTACATTTATGTAGTAGAAAAGAAACAAAATCCAGCAAAGGATATTGAGAAGTCATCAGAGATATAGGAAAAGGATGAGAATAACTTCATGAAAGGGTAGAAGAGTATCCAAACAAAAGATAGAAGACCACCAAGACAATGGTCAAGAGGTAGTCAGATATAGCAGAGAGGCCAAAGAATTTGGGTAGAAGAAGAAACACTAGGCCTGGCAACTAACAGGGTATTAGTGATCCCTGAGAAGGCAACTCTCGGGAGCATGATGGAGGCAAAAACTAAATTTTCAATGGAGCTAGAAGCAGTGGTATAGATCAGGAGCTGACAAACTTACCACCCACAGACCATATCTATCCTTCTCTCCCTCTAATCGGATATTGTATAGCCTGCAAGCTAAGAATGGATTTTACATTTTAAAATGTTGAAAAAATCAGAGAATATTTCATAATATGTGAAAATTATATGATATTCAAATTTCAATGTCCATAAATAAAGGTTTCTTTGGAACATAGCCACACCCATTTGCTTACATAATGTCTGGCTGCTTTTGCATGACAAGGCAAAGTTGAGTAGTTGTAACAGAGACCCTATGACCTACAAAGCCTACAATATTTACCATTTGGCACTTTAATAAAAGTTTGCCAACCCCTAGTATAGATTATTCTTTCAGGAAATTTTGTGGTTAAAAAGAGAGATGAGAGATAGGAAAGCAGTTCAACAGCAAAACTAGGTTTTCAAGAATGTTTTTACTATTTTATTTTCTTTAATAGGGGAGACATGAGTAGATTTGTAACCCAAGGAAAAGTAGTTAAAGTTTTGAAAAAATAAAAACATTTATTGTCTTCTCATTCTCTTAGATACTTCTGGTTCTTTCTCTTCTTATCTGGTTTCTCTTTCTCAAACTGTTTTTCGGTATTTGTCATGAAAATCATTCCAGTCTTGTTTGAAAATGATGACTTAACTCCTAGAATGCCTTAATTTTGAGGGGGAAAAAAAATGTGTATCACCCATACCCTGCCCTCCCCTAAGCTCCCATGTAGTCACTCCAAATTTTTATTTTAAATTAAAAGACATTAAACTGTTGTCACAACTGAGATTTTTAGCTTGATAGTGATTACCCTATTTTTGCAAAATTTTAGTGTGTCTTGTTTTCTCGAATGATTTTGGGTATATCTGCAAATTAATTCCCATTTAAATAAATATGTGCTACCATTGACATTTTGAGAAGGGAAATTTCTTGAGAAATAAAAACAATAGAGTTTAAAAAAAGAACAGGAGTCATAACAACAGGAGAGTTAAGATGATATCTCTGTCTTCCTCTGCTCTTTGTAAAAGCTGCTTTACATGATAATGCTAATATTATGTCCTAGTGGAAAATTTTCATGTGTTCCTGAGGATTTCAAAAATATTTGAAAGGAAATTACTTTGGGATGATTTTAGTAATATATTAGGTGTAGCTAGGGAATAATATGTGGCTTGAAGAACTGAATCCTTTGAATTGGCATTACCAATTGATCATCTTCCCATGCTAAGTATTTTCCTAGATCTTTCCAGATCCTATCAGAAATAAACTATACTGAGTCCATTCTTCTCAAGTCCTACCTTTCTGATAGTTGGCAGGTAGCTAATGATTGTTTATATGCTAATGTACCCAGACCTAGAAAATAGTAGAAAGGGATACTGGAGGCTTATCTATAAATGAGTTCTCAAACTGGGCTGTGATAGTCATTTTTAGTGAGAACCATTGCTAGTTTTGTGAACTCTTTCCTTATAAAGTGTCCCCTGCACAGAAAAGAATCTATTTCAGCTTTAAAATCACGTAGTTCCGTGCTTGCTTCGGCAGCACACACACTAAAATCACTTAGTTCCTAGTCTTTAGCAATTGAATTACTGTTTTCCTTTTCCTACCTAAAGTAATTACACCATTTTTGTTTTCTTGGCTTACTTTTATTATGCTACATAAATAATGTAGTTTATCAGAAAAGTCCATTGGAATCCCTTGCCCACTGCCACCCATTAATTTGACTGAATCTATCATGGAAGTCTGTGTAACTGGGTTTGTTTTGGACTCCTATCCTAAAGATCTTAATTACTTGAAATGCCATAACATGTAAGTCTTTGAAATCCAGTATATAATTTACATTTACAGAACATCTCAGTTCACACAAAACACATATCAACTGCTCAATAGCCATATATGGCTAATGGCTACCATGTTGGACAATATATTGCTAGAACCTCATGGAAAGCTTATTCCAACTGCACAGATTTCAGATCCCATTTTATATGATAAAGTTCTAAGGCTTAACTTGTAATTACAAACTACTTTTATAAGAGAAATCAGTACTTTTTTTCCAGGTACTGGTTTTATGATCTGGGATAATCTAAAATCATTATACACATCAGAATCAGTTGAATGATTTCAAAGCTTGAAATTTAATGACAAGTTTATTTTTCTCCTTTTGGCATTAGAGGTGTGATCTGAAAGCAATGAGATTAATTTTCTTCAGTAGTTTGCAAAACTGGCTCATGGCAGTATCCAAAGGGACATTCTTTATACTCTCTTCAAAAATCAAGTTCTGAGCAGTATTAAGGATTGTAAAATATCTTGAGGAAACTAAGTTCTATTGAGAAAAGAAAGGGAGACGAATTGTTCAGGTCCAAATGGTCATTCTAATGAATAAGCAAAATCATGGGCTACAACATTGGGATAAGACTATAGCCATTTAGTAAGACACTTGAGATGAGTTGTATTCATTTGGCTATGCAAATTCTATTATCTGTAACTTATTCTCATTCCCTTATAACCTTAACCATGTTTATTTATTCATCATGCCTTCAGTGCAGGTGACTTAAGTTATAGGTAATTTTCATATCCTGTGTATAGAGGGAGTAGAGGAATGGGGAGCAAAGCCACTTGCCAGGCACAGTGAACTGGATCCATTCCACGTGTCCATCAGTGCATAACCTCCTCAGACTCAGGAGTTTTGCCTTAAAAGGAGATAGTAGGCCAAGTATGCAGTCAGCCACTTTCTAGCTATAGTGTTTCTGCCATAACCAAAGGCTATAACCATATTGTAGGAACCTATGAAATGCTGCAAAAAGTATCCTGAAATTGCTGTCCACTCCATTTAATCCTGTCTTAAAGGATGTCTGCTAAGTATCTGTGTGGATTAAGATAAAGGACGGGGCCCATGATTTTTTGTGTATATATGATTTAATGTGAAAGTCTAGTTTTTTTTACCATTGAGACTTCAAGAGAATAAAAAGAAACAACCATAAAATAGGGTATAAAAATAATTTTTTTATGTAAGGGTCTGCACATTTTACACAGAGAAATTAAAGCTTCTAACAACCTGAATATGAAATGTGGATTTGCTTTTTTCCATTCAGCCTACCTAGTCTTCGCCCAATGTTGGATGTTAATTATTTGCCACTGACAGACATGAGGATAGCACGGACATTTTGTTTTACCAATGAAGGCCAGGCATTATACCTCGTCTCTCCTACTGAAATTCAGCGGTTAACATACAGCCAAGAGATGTGTGATAATCTTCAGGTAGGTCAGGCACATTTATGAATAAACACTGGACATGGTTGTAAAAAGAGAATGAGAGAGATATCTAAAAGCTAAAATATTATTGGGCCAGGCAATAAATATGCCTTCCCTAGAATATGTTTTGAATATATATTCATCATTGCAACCCTGTCAAGTTTGGTGTGCATCTAGGTATACACAGAAAAAAATAAGAAAAAAGGGAAGTGAGAGGGAGAAAGTGAAGATCATACATATTAATGGTTGATTTTTTGTTTGTTCATTTTATTCTTTGTTTTTTTTGTTTTTTTTTACCTATGGAGAATCCTCTGTAAGATTATAAACCCTCTTAAAAAAAAAAGGTTATAAACTCTCTCCCTCCAAGGTGGGGAATATGCATGTATACATTAAAATTTTGCATACAATTCAGGGAGCTCACGGACTTTTTTTTTTGAAGAAATACTAATTTTGATTAAGAGCCATACAAAATAAATACATTTCCAGTGGGTTAGAATTGGGCATTTGTCTTTTATCATAGCAGTAAGCAGAGCCTTGAAACAGAATAAATATAAATGCCTATCTAACCTTGGATAAGCAGTTACAAAATTTGAAAAGAGCATCTTAGAGATTTAATTGGTTCAACCCCCTTATTTTACAAAAAAGAAAACTAAAACCCACCCATTTTAATACAGAGGTTGAGAGTATAAGCTCTGAACTCTTTCAGTTGTATTTTGCCCACTTGTATAACTTTGGGCATTTTACTTAACCCACCCATATGCTCTGTCTTGGAGCACTGTTGTGAGAATTAAGTAAGAATGCTGAGCACAGTGCCTGGAACATAGTATATTTTTAAAATAAATAATAATGTTCTTATTATTGTTATTCAGTAAATACTTACTGATTTGTTACCATATGCCTGGTACTTGGCTAGGCTGTAGGAAGACAGTGATAAAATAAGATACAAGTCCCTACCCACTAGTGTGGAGGGAGGTAAGAGACAAACACAGCACTCTGGAAGAGACTGCCTGTATGTGGCTATGCCAGAGATGGAGAGACATGGAAGAGGGGTCCCTGGTTGCTAGAAGAGCAGAGAGCTCTAGTTAGAAAAGGGTTGTAAGGAGTAAGAGTTGTCCATAGGAATGGATAGCTGGGAATGGAAAATGAAATGATATTCCTGGTAGAATATCATTTTGTTGCGTGCAAAACCCTGGGGGTTGCGTGCAAAACCCTGGGGGTTCAGGAAACTGCCAACAAAGTGAAGAGTTAGTGAAAAGGATGGAGGGATAGTGCTGGAGAATTTTTCCAGAACAGATCTGGGAGCACCTGGTAAGAGCCTAAAGAATCTGGCATTTATCCCAAGGGGAACAGGAAGTCATTAAAAAGGTTTAACAGATTTGTTTATGAAAACTAAGATTCTGGTTGCGTATTGTTTCAAGGAATAAGGGAGAACAATTAGGAGGCTTTTTTAAAAATAATTAAGTCCAAAAATAACAATGTCTTAAAATAAGGCAGCCAGCAGTGAGAATGGAGAAAAGTTAGCAGATTCAATCACTATAAAGTATAATCAGTTGGATTGGAGGGTTAGTAGTTGTAGCAGTGAGGGAAAAGAAGGAATTAATAATTATTCCTGGGTTTTTGGCTAAGTAGATGGTGCTGCCATTTCCAAAGAGAAGGGATCCAGGAGGAAGAGCACAGGTCTGGTGGGTAGAGGTGAGAGGAAGAAGATGAAGATTCAAGTCAGGCTGCAGGTTCAGAGACAAACTGATACTAGGTCACAGATCTCCTGACTTTTGGTTGAAGTGCCTTCCTCCATACCAGTGGTTCTCAAATTTTGGTCTGCTTCAGAAAGACCTGGAGAACACATTAAAAATATAGATAACCAGAGCACATCTATATAGATTCTGATTCAGTATGTGTGAAATAAAGCCTAAGCATCCGTATTTCTAACAAGGGATTTTTCCAGTCATTCTAAAACACATCAAATATTGAAAACAATTGTATCTCACTATGCAGGAGCTAGGCTCATTTTTGACTTATATTTTGACTCATTTATCTTGAACCATTTCCTAGTTTTGTGCTTCATATAAAAATAAATCCAAACTTCCTCTACATACTACCAAAGGCTTCCTTCTTCATAGGGTTGTCCATGCTTGGTTCAGGAAAGGGGTTAGGACAGGAAAGAGGCTATGGTAATTGAAAAAGGGTCCTAAGAAGTAGAAATTAATCCCAAGGTAAATATATTAGCTTCTCATGTTTTCTAACTGTAAAGGGGAGAAAAGAAGAGAACAGAAAAATGAAAATTTTCAGATGTCAGTTACTAGAGAAGGAAAGGAAAAGGAGGTGGAGAAGAAATGCCAGAAATAAAATGGAGCAAAGCAAAAATCGCCAGGAAAATATATGGAAAGCAGGCTATCTCTTTATTCTGTGCTTTAACATACTACAGGGTTATCTTTTTTCTATCACTTTATTTTTAGTTACTCTAATGCTTTTTTGCCTGAATTTGATACAGGACATGCTAGGAGATTTGTTTACTCCCATTGAGACACCAGAAGCTCAAAACAGAGGCTTTCTCAAGGGACTGTTTGGTGGAAGTGGACAAACATTTGACAGAGAAGAGCTCTGTGAGTAAACTCCTGATTATGAAACTGTACCACTGAATAGAAGACTTGTTTCTCTCTCTCTCTCTCTCTCTCTCTCTCTCTCTCGTGTGTGTGTGTGTGTGTGTGTGTGTTTGTGTGTGTGTGTAACTTAATGTAATATGTGGTCTCAAATTCCAGACCAGGTTTTTTTGCTTCTATACCATGAAAATTATTTTTTTACCAAACATGAATAAAATCAGTTACTTCATATTAGGAAATAGTTTAACAAAAACAGTAGATGCAATTCATACAAATAATGAGTAAGCTAATAAATACATCATTTGCAAGTAGATCATACATGCAAGACAGAGTGAAGATATTCAGTTACTAAATTCTGGAAAAAATGTTTGTGAATCTGCCTGCCTTTAATCACTGCTGGGAAACAGATTCTTTATTCAGAACACAAGGCTTATCAATGCTACAGAATAAATTACTTTAAAATTCTTCCAGTGGAACTCTGATGAATAATCAAAAAGGAGTAGAAAGATACTAGGGAACATTTTCAGAAAGAATGTATTTCCCAGAATATCTTAGCCCTATTTGGTCTTGAAGATCAAAACTCCTTTCTCTTTAACTTTTCACCAAGCAAAAGATCTAGGTGCCTCCATATGATGGAATACTATTCAGCCATAAAAAGAAATGAAGTTTGATACATGCTACAACAGGGATGAAACTTGAAGACATCATGCTAAATTAAAGAAGGAAAAAAGGCCACATATTGTATGATTCCATTTATAAGAAATGTCCAGAATAGGCAAATCCATAAAGACAGAAAGTAGATTAGTGGTTGCCAAGCACTGGGGCAAGGAGAGAGGGGGAATGACTGCTAATGGGCACAGAGTTTCTTTTTGGAGTAATGAAAATGTTTTAAAATTAGATAGTGGTGATAGTTGCATAACTCTGTCAGCACACTAAAACCACTGAATCGTACACTTTATGTATATAAAGTATGTGAATTATATCTCAATAAGCCTCTAATTTAAAAAAATATCTTTTGATATTACTCCTAATATTACATCCTTAAGAATGCTCACTAAATTTCTACCAAGATAGCTGTCTTTCAATAAAAACTTCCAAAAAAAATCATTAAAATTAAACTGAACTTTGTAAATGATAGGGAAATTTTTCTTTTATAAAGTAACAAAATTTCAACACATGTATACTAATGTCCATCATGCATACCCTGTTCTTTAGTACTTACTTCCTCCCCCACACACATCTTTAAACAGTAACAACAACTGAGGCCTACAGAGGATGATAGCAAGATGAAGAGAGATGGTAGGAATGAAGACGGGCAGAAATTTAAACAAATGAACAGACCTAAGATTGGAACAGACCCTGATATGGGTTAAATATGAAATCACATATATTGTGAGCATCCCAAGTCAGCAATGTCAAGAAATGCAATGATGCCATATTGCATGGAATCCACACACGTACACACAAAGACAGGCAGTAACAATATGGTTACCTCACAGTCTCAGACTCTTTTGTAGATATTTTCGTGGGTAAAAGCTAACATCTCCAAATACACATCTACAATAAGAACAAATATATCTCAATGTATATTCTCAATGAGATATATTCTCATTCTCATTCTCAACAAATATATTCTCAATGAGAATTATGACACTAGAATTTAAGGTAAGTATTTTGGTGATAAACTTGATTCTAATTATTTGAATTACTGACAATATGTCTTAAATTGCTATGGCTTGAATTCCCAGTTGGGGAAGCTTCAGCAGGAAGAGCATCTCGCAGCTTGGCACAGCACATTCCCGGACCAGGCGGTATAGAAGGGATGAAAGGCGCTGCCGGAGGGGTGATGGGAGAGCTGACACGCGCTCGGATCGCACTTGATGAGAGAGGACAGAGGCTAGGAGAGCTGGAGGAGAAGACTGCAGGCATGATGACCAGCGCAGAAGCATTTTCCAAACATGCACATGAGGTAAACGGCTTAATATAGTGTCTTCATACAATAATAACTTGAAACACTGGGGCCCTGCACAAGAAAGCCCAGAGATGTCACTGTAAGTAATCCTGTGTGAGAGCCAGGGTAACCTGGATCTCGTTATAAGTGTCATAATTCCCCCAGTATTTGGAAGAGAAACGTTTTTAAATACTATATTAATACTACTTTCCCTTAGGGGAGAACTTAAAATAAAATTATTCATTGGTTCTGATACCTTGGGTCTATATTGTGCATCTGCTACTAAAAAGGTGCTTAGGTACATTATATGATCCTCCCCCTCCCCCAAAAAAGGTGTGAGGGGCACTAGAAGCTGGAATCCACACACTACTTTTTGCTTTAATCATTAAAAATCAGCTGAGTCTTTTCAGCTTGATTATTTAAAAAAAATCTTTTCATATGTACTTTATTTCAAAAAGTAAAGGAAGTTTTATAAATTTAAGATTTAGATATGCATGATTGGCTCAATATGAGCTTGCTTTGGCTAGTATTTTTAAAGATTTTTAAAAACATTTTATTGTGACTATTTTTTCTTTGCAGTTAATGCTGAAATATAAGGATAAGAAATGGTACCAATTCTAAACTTCTAAAGAAGCTGTGACTGCTTTGAGAAACCATTATTCAGGGAAACCAAATTTATTCCCAGCATCACTATTCAACTTGCTAGAAGCCAGTTTCTTCTACAAAATGTTCCATTACAGTCCATCTGAAGTTATTATAAGGGAAATTTATTAGACACTGTACAACCCAAAGGCGGGAACCCTGGTTAAAATCCCAAGACACAGCTGAATTTGCCTTTTCCCAACGTGGAATGGAGCTATCATCTTGGCCTGTCATTTGCTAAGGATTTGCATTTAGGAACTACGGGGAGTCCTTCTGATTTGAAAAAATCCTGCACAAACAAAAGCATTAATGCACTTAATGAAAAAAAAAATCTTTGCATGATAAATTAACATCTTAAGAGGAAAAGAAAAAAAGCATGTTGTGACAGAAGAAAAAAAGATTTATGGCAAACTATTTTTATAAATTGGGCCACACCTGACAATTTAAAAAATCTGCATTAGAAGATATCAGTGTATTTCAAGTAACTTTACCATACCCAACTGAAAAAGAAAAGAAAACCAGAGTTTTCTTCTCATCTATAACTTTCATTATACTAGGACATTATTGAATTCTTATGGCAAGAGTCTGATTAATGTTTGTCTTTCCATAATATTTTACATCATCACCGTTATCAGTCATAATCGAGTATTGCCAGGATAGTAAGTCATTCCTCACACAGTAACTTCCATTTGTCACCTTCAGAACAATTGGCTATTTTTAGTCATAAACCGTGCAGGGTTGGGTCACCTCAAAGCATTTTTTCAGCTTGGCTTGTGCTCTGCAGGGGAGTTGATGATAAGTTGGGGGAAAATAGACTACAGGAACAGTGCAGTTAGCTTTGAGAACTGATTTCACACACTCTGGTTTCAGTTTCTAAAGGGATATGTTTTTAATGCTCCATTTGTATCTTTGTCTGCCAATTACACAGTATATTACTGTTCAAGCCCAGTGGTGTCTTCAATCCAAAGGTGCTCTTGCAGCCTGACACTCACAGACCAAACTGGTCATTCTCTTTAATATGATTCAGTAAAACCTCAGTTAATGTTTTGGGAAAGAGATTCTGATTTACTACATTTCTGATTAACAAGGGCTTTCATTAGTAAATACTTTTTGGTTCAATACTTATTATTGAAAATCTTTATAAAATGTGGTATTTTTGCTATGTTGGCCTTAGTCACCATTATGGACAACAGAACTACAGAGAGAATTTAATGATACAAAATGAATAATTTTGTCACTCTTTAGGCTAAATGATATAAGCCACAAATTATGTCAGTAGATACCGAACACCTTTTCCTTATTAAAAACTCTTTTAAAAGTGAAATAAGGCATACCCTTAATATGATAAAAGTTGTCTGTCATAACAGCGAGGCTCTAGAGGCAAATAAATAAATAAATAAAGACACCTGCTATCATTATTTAACATGATTCTGGAAATTAAAAGTCATAGAAAATGAATATATGCAGGTTCTTGTACCCATCCTGTAATATGTTGTTCCTTCAAAGAGAATTTAAAAAAAAAATTAATGGGTTTGGCTTAATGAATTTTGATTATTCCAGGTCTTAGCAGATTTGCATTTGTGTTTCCTAGGAATTCATCATTTTTCCTGAAATCCAGGTTATTTTAGTAGTCCCAAATAGTATTTGTTTTTTTAGATTTTTTAATTCTTAGTGTATTTTTTGAAGTGGCAATTCCTTTAAATGTTCTCAGTAATTTTGAGAAAAGATGATAGAGTCAGAAAATGTATACTTCATCTCCCCAACTCCTGATTAGTGGAATACAAATTAATGAGGTTTTACTGTATCAGAATTATTTTTATAATTCAAAGAGACAGCAATAACAAGAATCTGATGTGGATGTGATTTTTCTCTTTGAACTTTTCTGTTCTGTTGCACTGACCTTAGCATGCATGTGCATGCACACACACCATCACAACCACCACCACCATCTTATCATCATCATCATCTTTGGAAAATGAGCACTGTTGATCCATGTAATTCTTTACATCTCTCTTCTCCACTGTTTAAATGTCTTGCCTCTATCTTGGAACATAAGAAAAATACTCCTAGTAACTTGGACAATGATAGAGAAAATAACTCTGAGTCTTTGTCATCAAAATTACATTATATCTACTATGGTGGCTTCAGAAGAGAAGGCTTGCAAACCACAGTCTCCAAGTTGACTTTATCTCCCTATGACTCCCTCAGGAGATAAGCCCTTCTTAGTGTCCCAGGGGAAAATGGGTCTTTGTGCTCTAATTCACCAATAAGAAGCGAGAAGTATTTGTTTTCCTGATTCTAATAATGTGAGCAGTAATCCCTACCATGAAATCATCCATTAACCTTGGTGTTTGGAGGGAAGGATGATTGATTTATCATTTATTTTAATCCCTTACAACTTTGCTTCCTACACTTAAGACTCAGACTTAGTGCCCCAATCACCATAGGGGCCATCACCTAACTTTGGAAGGATAGTGACAGAACTGAGAGAGATGTTTCCCGATAATTTAGTCATAAAGACAATTTTTCAAATCTTTTATATAGCCTTGGAGTGATTCTCAAGTTAATAAATCAGAATCCAGGTTTCTATTCCTCAAAGATCTTAAGGGATTATAAAAGGAAAAAGTTTATTGTTGGAGTCCCTTTTTATGTGACCTATGTGTCCAATTTAAATGTACCATCTATCTGTTATCGGCATTAAGGGTTCTCCAGGGCTTAGAGAAAGAAAGAGAGAGAGAGAGAGAGAGAGATTATGCCCAAAGTTGGTTGAAGAAGATGAAAATGAGCTCTTTTAAATACTTGGTTATAAAATGTTTGGCAGAAGGGAAAAATGAAAAACGTCTAGAAAAGTAAGCTAAATATCCTCTCTTTGGTTTAGGATCATTGGGACAACCCAGAAGAATATCTGTGATTACAGTCTGACCCTATGGAAAGACATTAGAACTTGACTATTTTCTTTGAGAGGCAATGCCAAAAAGACTCAGACATTTCTATCAGGGTTTGTTCTTTGCATCAGGAGAAAAGTGGTAGCCGTCACAGCTTCCTCACCTTTGTCTTCTGTAACACCAACCCCATTACTGACTACATACTATTTCATATACACGCTGCTCCAGGTGCCAGAGATACTTGCCAGTAAGTCATGTATTCTGGATGGCACCATCACAGGGAGTATGGTTGTTGTGTAGCAAGTTTAGCATACATATTTGCGTATAACATAGCCCTAAAGGGATAAAATGCAGAAGATAAGGTCTGACTTTGCAAAGTAAGAGGAAGTGCCAATTTGGTGCAAGAGGACTGGGGTGGGGAGGGACATGAGAGCCAGAGTTAAGTGGAAGAGGTTTTGATGAGAAACTAGAGGCACAGATGGCTGCTTTTATTTATATATTTATGTAGGGAACTGATTCTCAACCTTGGCTGTACATGAGAATCACCTAAGAAGCTTTTACAATTCCAATTATATCAAAATCTCTTGGAGTGGGACCTGAACATTGTTATTTTTGAAAGCCCCCAATATGGTTCCAGTGTCAGCCAAGGCTGACAAACACAGCTTTATGGCCTATTAAGGAAGACACATTTGTCTACCTTGGCTGGTATCCAAGCCCCACTTCTGAGGAGTCGTGGAAGGCAAGATGCAAGAGATACAGTGTTGTCTGGATTGAGAATTATTGTGTTGTAACCCAAAACAAATGTTCTGTGCAAATTTCTGACCAGGCAATGCCCCACTGACTTTTAATAATTCTGTCTTTGTGATTTTCTCCCATGTGACTTGGCCATTATTCCTATTCAAACATCTAGGTTTTGATTGTCTTATACATGTGACATCACAAGATACCAGAAGAAATATAAGAAATTCAACAGAAGGCAAAGCTAAGTGGACAACTAATTCTTAGTAGTTGGACAGTGGAAATTAAAACAATCATTTATTAAATCAGGCCCAAATTTATTATTCATTTCTTCATTTGGAGGAGACATGGGTACTAGGTACCTGTTCTGCTGTAGTATATTTTACTGGACTTGATCTTAGCAAGAAGGAAGAACAGCAGTTCCTTTTTGATTGTTGTCTTAGCTCCCAGGGCCACTTATATTTTTTTTCTTAGTTATTGGACATGTGTTTAAAGGGAGAAGAGTGTCTTTAACTCACTGTCTGGACTTCAGTGCCCTGAGAGACTGTTTTCACCTTCAAAAAGGGAAAGTCTGCCTATCCAAGGCAATAACCCTCAATGAGAAAATGTGAGAGTTCTCTCCTCTCTTAGTGCTCCCCTCTGGTATTGTCCTGTGCTTCTCAACTGCAAAGCCAGAAAATAAACTAGGTGGTGGTCATGGACAAGTGTACACAGAATCAAAATCTCTAATAACCTACAATTTTTAGTACTTAATTATGTGATGTTTTATTCTAGGAAATAAGAAACAGATGACATCATTGATGTATCTTTCTTTCATCTTCAGAATTTTTGCATCTTTTCAGAAAATGACAAATTACTATTTTTCTGTTGCACTCAGCAATTGTGACTATACTTAAAATTCTTGTAGTCTGTAGAGATATCAATAAAATTGTATATGTTTGTACATAGATGCTCTTATGTTATGATGTCATGCACTAAACATTTTTGCCAAGATTAAATATGGACAGAGGGAAGACTTTCATCTGCAACACTTTGAACCATGGTTTTGCAAAGTATACTTGTTTTAAAAATGCAGAGAAGTGGGTAGGGGAGCGATGTACAGCACATTTGTTTGAAATAAGAAACAGAAAGAAAAGACTAAAACAAGTTCTCCAAACTCACAGATTTTGCTAGACTTCATTAATCCAAAAGGATAGAATACACCCCAAGCATCCCCAAATTTCAAACTGGGGAGTTGTGTAACTTTTTTATGGAAGATTTTACAATTTTTGAGGATGCTGATTGATTAGACCTTTGGTGAATTACAAGTAAAACTAGATTTGGTGAGGGTGCAGACTAAAAATCTGAGGCTGAGTA